ATAACAATAAATCATCTCGTCCATGCGTATTTTAACGTGGAATATCCGAATAATGATAACAAGCCATCCGGGAACCGTGGGAGTTCAAGTGACGCACAAGACCTGCACAAAACGGCTATAATTTACGAGGAGCTTAAGAGACTTAACATCTCTATCTCTGCCCTCCAAGAAACCTTACTACCTGATCAAGGGTCATTGAAAAAAGGTCATTTTCACTTTTTACTGAACAGGTAAGGCTAAGGACGAAGTATGCCAAGTGTCGGGGTTGGCTGACGATCCTTTTTATGCGCTAGAATAACTACCACTAGATATTACAGAATACATTATGCTTTTGAGGTTGAAATCAAACTGTGCTTCGGTAAGTTTAGACGCTCTTACTTTAGCAGAAACTGGTTGGATCAAAAGCCAGTTTTATGACCAGCTGTCATATGCCTTATCATCCTTCAACACCTGGGAACACTTTATGGAGCGACTCTGTTGGTGGCCACGACATTTGAAAAATTAATGAAACCGGCTACGTCTACTAGAGTTGTCTACTAGTGTAATGTAATTGACATTTTAATGTAATTGACTGACACGGGTAATTTCCAGGTTTTACACGGGAATAAATCGAGCACTTGTTTCTATCAACAAAAAGCCTAGTGCCGGTTCTACGATTTAAAGATGTGCCAAAAGATATGATCTCATTTGGAATCCATCAAGCGGCGTGGGTAAAGCTTGCTGAGGATCGTGGGGAAATTTTGAGAATGATGGGCTTTTCGAACACTGGCGGACAGAAGAAGGAAACGACCTAAAGCCGAAAATAATCCAACAACCACGAGTAGGGAACTGTCGCTCTAAAATTGGCCTTTTTGACCATGAAAATAAGTCCTTATCGACGTGGTGTTTGCATCATCTGTATCATTCAATGTATGTAACCAAGAATTTGGACCGCGGAAAATCCACGACATCATAAAAGATTAGTACTAACTCTAATAAATTGTATTATACTTTTGAAAGGTAAATTTAAGAATAAATTTTGAATGAAATAATTGAGACCAACCCTCTTAAACGTAGGAGATGAATACTGACACATGTTTGACTGTTGCGTGTGCACTTATAACATGGTGAACCAGTAGGGCAATTGATATATCACATAGCCTTAGCTCAAATGTGATACAATTTCATTAGGTACATACAAATTAGTTTAATTTTTAATATATTATACACTAAACATTATACATTCTTCCCATAAATAGGATAAAGGCTAAGGAGTTATTTATTTCAGCAGTCAAGATTATCTATGTAATATTCAGATTATCTACGTAATATTGTGTCTCCCAGTGCACAAAAAGATTATTAACGAGCAAGACGTTGAAGGCTGGTGGTTTAAATTACGTTGCCCCACCGCAATACACTTGAGTGGCTACTGTCATTCGAATGGATAAGCAGCATGAACATGATAAATATTAGTTTGTAATTGTTACAGTTGCTAATATTCATTTTATAAGCTAGTGTTAATTTTGGATTCTTTTAATTTAATATTTGGCTTACAAAAAAGCATTTTCATTTCTTTAAAAAAATCTACAGCTGTCAAAAAAGGAAGAAACATATCACAATTAAATTTACAAGAGCAGATCCTTTACGTGTTAAAATCAAATTGGTGTGCAGACATTTGATTTCAGTACCTTAGGATATGAAAAGCACTATGAGACAGTTCTGGGACGATTTGGAACACCTTGATTTTGTTAAATGGTATGCCCTGGTCTTGTAAGAACTGCTGTCTCAATTCGATGGTGGAATTATCACTGATCTTTCTTATGAAAGTAAACATTAACCCTGACAACTTTATGAATGTATCAGATTTTTTATATTATTGAACATGACCACTGATATCCAGATACATACCATTTCTTTCATAAACTGAATCATTAAAGCGATGGTTAAATGTTATAAAAAATACGGAAGATGGCGTTTCGTTTTTTTTTATTAACAGAATATACTTATGTATTTAATTAATATAAAGTAGTTAATTTACATGAAAGTTGTTTCATGCTTCAGTTTCAGGGCAAACAACAAAATTCATCGGGTTTTGTTCTTTACATTTTGAGTAGCTTTTATTTTTACTTCGATCTAGTCTCCTCCAAGCCTTTGATTGGATATGGCAATGATGAAATAAGTTTAAGATCTCCATAGCATATGGATATTTGTTTCAAAGGTTAATTTTAAAATTCGTATTAATTAAAAAATTACATTTCTCAAATTTTATTACTATCGTTTTCATGTTCCATGTGAAGAAAAGACCTGTTTCCACCATCAAAGCTACGGGTATTTGATGAACTTTTAGACATAAGTCTTCGGCTTTAAAACATAACTTCAGTCAATTCAACACGAAATAACATAATTTCTACAACTAAAAGTGATAACTTTATCTGATAAAGAAGCCCTGTGAAATAAACTTTTAAGATTTTCTTTCGACGCTTGTTAAACATCCGTATTAATATTATAATCTTCGCTACATCAGAAACTGCACTGCTCTAACTCTATATTTTTTCATTATCCTTTAATGAATTGAAAATTTATATCCTAATGTTACGTTTCATTTTTTAATACGGCTTAAGTATAAAGTAAAAGATTCTATGGGCTTGATACTTTGTATGACACTCGTTATTTGATTGTGCCCTCTTTGATAAGCTCTACATTCCCTTAAATATTTCGTGCTTATATTCCATTACAGAATAAATAGAACAAATCGTAGAAATAGTATATTCTGAATTCCATATATGTTCCTCTTGTCACAATAGTGCCCTTTAAAAATCGTAAACAGGTGCGTCATCTTTTGTACGATAAATAAAAATCGAAGCAAAAGAAGGTTTTAGTTTAAGAAACGTCAGTGAGCAAAAGAGGAAAATTCGATGAGTTGAAATACTGTCCATGAAGGTTTGATTTTAAGGGCTCCCCAAGCTGTGTGAACGCCAAGGTGAGAAGGCGCGACCACGCAGCGCCACAGAGTCTGGTGTGGTTGCTTCCCGCCCCGCAACCCGCTTACCGCTACTTTTGATAAAGGCATCAACAGACCGAAGCAAACAAATAACGCGTATCAATTCAACATATTATTATAGGGAACCTCATTGAGTAATAAGTCATTTTCTCACTTAACTATTTTAGGCATACATGTGTGCATTTAACGCTAATAACCAGTTTATTAATATTTGTAAGCATCTACGTACTCTGTTTATTTTTCCGAAAATTACCAAATTACTATGAAAATTAGCAGCAAAAATTTACAGTTCAACAGAGAGGATGTAAAACAAAACTATTGGGATCTACATTATTGTTATCAATAAAAAAATGGAGTAATATCAAGTCGACATGTTTATCCAAGAAGACGGTCTATTGTTTTTTGATCATTTTTATCACTTCGTCACTCGTTCCTTTGCTACCTGCTCTACAAAAAATGTTAAAATATCAATTAACCATTTAAAGTTGCTCTTAATTTAATGTTATACGTTGTGATAATTTTTCCTCCAATATTTTAAAAATCGTTATTATAATGTCTGTTAAAATTTTCCCCACACATTTACTGAAGATGGTCTGAAGGGGCTTTAGTTATCTATGGACGCGGCCGGCCCACACAACCAACTGCCTACGCGCCTTAGCTACGCTCTCATGTGTACGCATCGTGAATCATGATGCCTAGCATAATAAACAATGATATATTGCGGCCGATTCCAACGTTTACACTGAGCCATAAGAATGTGTTAATTTATTTGATTCAAGCCAATAATCGAACCTTGAAGGATACGTTGGTGTTAAACTACAATACGGATTATATATATATAAACAATTTTTACATTAATAGGTACACAAAGACTTTGCAATATAAATTTTTAGGTGACATATTTACATACATGACTATTTTTCAATATACATAAATATGGAGGTTGGTGTGTGTTCGTTTCTTTTCCATACCAAAACGGTTAAACGGTTATTCTAAAAAATAAGGGCCTCTTTACGAAAAACAAGTAAGAACCTTCATAGTAAATGGTTAACAATACGTCTAGAATAACCAAACTATTGACAGACCTAAAGTGTTGTTTCGTATCGACTATCACAAATCCTTGAGTATATATTGACGGGTACGGTTATTGAGTTAAATTTCGTTCGTGCCGAACGTAAGCAAGTTATTAATAATAACATCAGCAACTAAATAAACGATAAAAGGACAACGGGTTATCAATGCTTCGGTACCTATCGCGGGTGCGGATTGTCAACTCATTAGAATAATTATCGCATATATTGCAAGAAGACGCGATTGGACAAGAAAGAGGCGGGAATGAGTCATCTCGTCCTACTCTATGCTCGTCACGTCCATGACAGTTGGACTAAACTGTCGCTTTTCCCGTACATTGCCGGAATTTATAATAGCCGTTTTGGTGCATAATAAAATTTAAGACCAGGAAGTTTCTGGGGATATCCGAAAAAAAAATGAACCAACTGCGTCAGTTTGAATATCGTGTTCATGCTCAATGCATTACTATAAACGGAAGTTTCTAGCATATAAGTATATGAATAGCGATAGTGAGGTCAACGTTGCATTTATATCCTTTGTGATAGGAATTTAATATATAAGGTATCTTAAATAGAATTTATAAATGGTTAACAAACTTAGTACATCATAAAAAATATTAGGGTACCCTATCTTTCATACAAGTATCATTCACAATACCCATTTCAGCTGCCTGCAAAAAACGAAAGACAAAAGCATAAATATCATCTACGTTGCGTCTGCCTTCCGCGAGTACTTTTCCTCATTTTCGGGACGAGCCGACCCATTCATACAGAGCAGAAGCTGCAAATACAATCCACATCAATTCATCAATAGTTACTTTTTTAGTTTGTGCAAGTAAGAAACTATATACCAACATAACGAAATTATTGATTCATAAATGTATTTAATTAAATGATAAGAAAGTTAATTAAAATGAGTTTCGGGTTAAAGCACTTATACCGCAGCCGCTATGAAGTTTTTAATAATTTCGACTGCTTTAGGTTTGTAAAGAAAATAAACTATACATATTTATTTATTCATTTAAATATCATTATAATATATTACGCCATTTATTACGAGTAGTTTTAAATTTATTTTGTATTTGCTTATGAAAAAATAAAACACATATTTCAGTATACTGCTCAGCGGGTCCATATGACATGACCCTTCACTACAAAAAGAACCCGGCGCCAGACGGTCACAGGTAAAATAAATAGCATAGCGAGTTTTTTTTAAATTAAGTGTACCATTATTAGTACAAAAGTCAGTGTATATAAATAATATATCGAATTATTTGCTTTAAAGTTACTTGCCAAACAGGTGCACAAACTGCAAGGTTGCAAATCGCAAACATACAAAGGTTTCTGGTTTGCAACCAGTCACTGTGTAAAATAATACCCCTTGTGCTTAAATATAACCTAAAACAATAATTATTGTACTTAACTGTTTACACTACCGATACTGAATTATTGGGATTAATTAACGTTACTGCATTTTGACAAATGAAATAAAACATAAAAGTTTGAAAGAGTAACGAATAAAATCGAACTATACAAGTTAAAAGTTGACAAATATACATTTAATTATGCAAATGAAATATATTTTTTATTCAATAAATCTTTATCTAATTATGAACTATATGTAAAATTAAATTATTATAATTTTATGGACTTTTCAAGACTATAATCATATCGTCGTTTTTATATTTAGCAACGATAGATTTTAATGTAACTAGTTTAATTACATTTTAATTTCGAATAGCTTCAATCTAGCCAATTATACGAATCATGTTGAAATTTACTAAGTAAACTCAAAAATTACATAAAGTGTTCAAAAAGTGGTTGCTTTTTCCGCCACTGTTCCCTGAACGTCGTCATCCGTAGGGGGGGGTTCGTGGGTTCGATTCCCACACGGGACAACTATTTTGTGATCCACAGATAGTTGTTTCGCATCTGAGTGTTTGTCTACATGAAATTTATGTTTATAAAACGTCCTTACAACACAGGATAATTTTATCTTAAAATAAGGGAAATGTTTAATAAAAAATCATAATATTAACAATAAAGTTTAAAGTCTACTACACGAATACTGACAGTTTAGTGTTTAGATTTTAATTCAACAACCATGTCGCATTTTGCATGATTTGTTTGGAATTGATAGCCACAAGTGGTAGTTTTTATGTTTGTTTCATTTAATGCCTAGACCGCACTCGACACGACAACAAATACATCTTCGCTCGCGTTGAACCCCTTAAATAAATATCTTTCTTTAAAAAAACTTAAATAAAAATAGCCTGTCCTTTCTCAGGCTCTAGACTATTTGTGTACCAAAATTAATTTAAATCGGTTCAATAGTTTTGGCGTGAAAGCGAGACAGACATACAGAGTTACTTTCGCATTTACAACATTAGTATATAAAATAAATAGACATCGACTACATAATGACTCCTTGGAGAAGTGGGCAAGGCATTGGTTTCGACCCACTGATAATTGTTTTGGATTAGAGTGTGTCGTATTTGTGTATTGTTACAACACAGGATAACGTTATCCTACAGTAAGGGCAATGTTTAAAAAAAGAGAAAATGGAACTACATATAATGTGTAAAAGCAATTAAAGTGAAAGCACAAAAATCTCCCCGCTGCCGTTCCAAATACTGTTTTCTGTTTCAGATGTGGAATATGTCCCACTTATTTTCAGAAGATCTGCGCATTCAACTTGCAAACCAATGCTACATACATATTCGACAATCATTGCATTATGGACCTGTACAATTGCATTGATGGCACAGGTTTGAATGTTTATTATACTTTAACTTTATGATATGCGTAAGGACCTATAACATTAAACCTTTCATGCAATATAGTTTAAGTATTCGCAAAGAGCAAATTCCTGAGCTATAATTTTAGTTCTATATCTATTCTATGTCTATTACTCCTGACTGGCAAAACAGCGTGGTCGCCCTCTAATGAAACATTTTCTCACTAATAAATTAAATTCTTTAAAGCTACAAGCTAATTAAACTGTCTTGATGTAAAACGGTTGGCAATAAAACTTGTGATCTAATAATAGTGTAATAATATGAATTGAATACTCTTTGTCAGAGAACTCCATTATTATATTTCGCATAATCACATCTAATGATTTGAAAAAGCTAAACAGAATAACTGTATTCGGTTACCCGATCTCTTGGAAGAGGAAAATCGTAGGCGTAACCACATACCCTTCGCGGCCGAAACGTGGTGAGCGACGAAGCCTCAGACCAAGCCCTTGTGTACGGGCCGGGAGACTCTGTGTTCGATGAATTTTTGGCCAGGAGGCTGGCTGCTTCTTAGTACTAGCCATGAGTGTCTTAGTTACCAGCTCTTTAGACACTCATGGCCTTTGAGCGGCGGATTCGGGGAGTACAATTCCCGTGCGAACGGAGCCTAGCTGAATGGCTTGCTGGTACAACTCAGCTCTATTAAAGAAGTAATTTTTTCCCTGAAGGAGTTGCAGATGTATGTGGAACCGCTTCTGTGGCCCTGCAATATGCGCCCTAGGAAAAAAATCGATGAGAGTCCGAACCCATGCTTCTATAACGGCGGTTATACGTAGTCATTTCCCCCATGTAAATAAAAAAGAAACTCCTGATGTTTACAATCATTTTAAAACGTTAACAAACGGACATTCGAAAGTACCACAATTATCCGAAACCTATGGCGGCAAAAGCGGTGAACCGCTAAGCCATTACCGCCGCGTTCTATCCCACAATACATCTAGTAAAATACAACAAATAGCCTTCGAGCACAGCAAAAATATACCGTGGACAAAAGCAGTGCTCTCTGGGTTGTACACACTGCTCCAAACTACCAAGCAAACAGTCGATCGTTTGAGTTAACTTTCAAAAACGGAGTCTTTGGAGACAAAACTATTTCGATCGACTTGATACTTTGAACACAGGCAGGAGTCACAGCGCTCAAGTCTATCATATTTACCGTGATGAGAGAGTACAGAATAATCATGTCTAAATTGCTGCTCTTGAATTGATTGTCTCCTCGGTACCTTTATTAAAATTTTTGTGGAAGCTTCGCATTTATGGAATCCGACAGTAATACCAAGGGACATTCCAAATTTACTAACACACTCACGGACTCATGGATTTTGGATAATTTTAATTCCGATCAACAACTCTATAATGGTTTCAGAATTCGTCCCCATTAATTACGACAAATGCCTATATTTCGGCAATTTCGCATACGTTCATGGATACAAGTATGAAGATGAAGACTATGATGAGGATCATTTCATTGTGAAGGGTTCAAAGAAAAATCCTGACTTTTTCCATGACTAAGATTTATATAAATTATCAGTATAATTAATATTATTTAAAACTATCACACTTTGATATAAACCTATCACAATTGTGTTAAATAAACATATCTTGTTTTTATTAAACATAATGGTATAAGTTAAGTAATAAGAGCACAAAAAAATTGTTGTATTTTTATCACTAACTTTAATCAATAATTGTTTCACTGTCATAGTACAGTAGTGGTACTGGGTACAGTTTTTAGACATATGACTTCTTCCCATCATGTTTAGTCCTTACTTTGTTGTACATTTTCCTACCTATCTTATGAATTGTGTCAATTTTACTACATATGTATCAATAATATTGAGTATGTTTTTATACTATTTATTTTAGCAGTCATTCAAGTTTTAGATTATGTCAATGAAAATAAGAACATTGAAATAAGAGAATTTTATAAATAATATTATCGAAAGTGTACACAGATTCTACTAGAGCTTATAGAAAAAGATAAATTATATGGAAATATTAGTGAAATAAAAAATGAATGTAGGTTTTATGTAAAAAAATTAGTGGCTATTATGTATAGTTTTGTTTTTCATCTCAGCTTCATTTTTACTTGCGTTTGGAGAAGTAAGGCTTTTATATAAGAAAATGAAAACATGTTTTAACTATTATTAATTGTTCTGTATTCAAATCTTAGGCTGCCTTTCATGTCAGTGCCAGATATTGCAGTTCATTTCACTGACAGCCTAAGACAAGAACATTGGCTATGTGACCGACATGTGGCCTAGCCTCTTGTAGTCAATCTTGTCAAGCTGCACCAGTGGTCTTAATTGATCAGCAAATGCGCGCATATCCTCACCTATTGCATCTTGCCCTTGTGGTGCTAAAACCTGCAATAATTGTTGAAAATATTTTTAATATGTACACTAAGGACATTGAAAGACAATTCTGCAATCACATTAATAAAAAGGAGTTGCTTATGGGCAATCAAAGATAACTGAAGTATATCAGCATTTCCTAAACTATTTTCTGTGAGAAAATAATATTCTGCTTTGACTGGATAGAAGTTCCCTTTTCCCAAGATATTTTAAGCACCAAGATATTTCACTGTTTATTTTTATCAATGCTCCATCGCCAGGTGTGTACATACACACCTGGCGATGGAGCCATTGAATTATTGATTGCTGCTTTAAAATTTAAACTGAAATATAATAAGTATGCAGAATAAGAATGGTAATGATATATCATACTAACTGATAATTCAACTAAGTAGCTTTGTGATATAGGTTCTGGTGACATTGAACTCTGTGATATTTTAAAAACCTTTGAAACTGTTATCTTCATACGGCCTTTTCTAAACATGTAACCTGAAACATTCAAAATAACTCTTCTAATTATCAATAGAAATATAAATTATCACTATATATTTATTACAGAACTGACAACATATAAAAATAAAAATCACTTTATTGCCTTCTGTATAACTTGTAACTAAACATTCATTATTAAACTTAAAGAACACATTAATACAATAAAAGTAAAAGGAGGCAGCGGAACTACTGTCCCGATCAGCACAAACTGAGCTGCCCCATATAGACAGATAGTATGACATCACTTCTTCACTAGTATGATAGTGGATTTTCATTAACCTAATTATAAATAATTGACTAAAGGTTGGGTGATAAGGATGAAAGAAATTTATGTATTTACCTTTAACACTATACTCAAATTCTATCCTACATCCAAGTTCATTGAGAAACTCAATGAGCATACCACTACAAGCAATGTCAAGGCTGGATCGGACAACTGTTGGTCTGCTTTTGTCACCAAGGTCTGGTTGACCTATGTAACGGAGCTGATATGGCATATCCCTAGCATCTAACGCCTTCCGAAGTCTCAGCATAAGAGGAGCTGCCTTAAAAAATAAAATAATATTTTTTTTCTAATTGAACTATAATTTTCTTTTGTACGGAAATCCAATGAGTACAAACCTGTTGATTTGGATCTCTCAAACTAAAACAAACTTCCTGATCATCAAAGGTTTCTGTTCCAGCATCAACATTATCACAAAGACCACGAAGCCTATGAAGTAATACTTCCACCGCTGAATCTAATACGGATCCCTATGTAAAGTAACATAATTAGAATTTAAATTAATAGAGATTATATATGCTTATCTTAAAGAAAACTTATTATAATTACCTGTAATAAATACTCCTGGTTGGGGATAATATTGGCTTTTAAGGCTTGTGATAAGCTGTCGGTTGCAGTTATAGGAGCTACATTTGCAGCGGACATAGTTAACTTCCTATATTTTATGAAGATATCTTTTGTACCTATCTAAAAAGACTAAATAAAAACTAAAAAATAATACCTTACCTACTCAATTATCAGTCAATACTCAAATGTCAATGAATTGTCATTTTCATTTTGTCAATCGTCAAACTTAACACAACCCATAAATAACGATTACTTATTTAGTATTCAAATGCAAAACGCATAAAAATTCTGCCACTTGTCACGGATTTTTTTTTGTTATTGTAGTTTTACTGTCTAGTCGGTGGCTTTGTTGAAAGATGCCCCTATTCCTTAGATAGACAACAGTTTATAAGACAGTCTCTGATACACGGCCCGAGAGGGTGAGGGATGTGAGCATTTCCGTAGTATTACTCTATGGATGCGAGGTGTGTAGATCTGCAGATAGTAGATACCGAAGGCTCTGACCTACGGACTTGCAGAGCCATTTATGCTTTCGATTGAAGTGTCTTATTAATTATTTTTTAGGAAGTTGGACAGGGTAGTGATTCAAAAGTCGTGATGTATTCTGTTATCCATATATAACGGGGTGGACAGTGAAGTAAAAATCGCCTTTTAAAGACTCAAACTTGATTTATAAAGGTTCTTTTTTTGTTTTAAAAGGATTTTGGATTATGCTAATCATTCTATAAAATATCATGACGTCATTTCGTTTAAAAATCAAAGTTATGATTTTTTTTTGAGTAAAAATTTGTATATGAAATTTTATTTTAAAATTTTTTATAGTGAAAATGGTTTAGAAAGTTACAGGTCATGGTCAATTGGGATAATTATAAAGAGATAATGTATAATTGCCACTCAACCTGAGTTGAAATAAACTTATTTCAATAAAACCACTGTTTTCCTCCTTTTACTTGCCATTGACAAGGAAGAACAGAATGCCAGAAACAGAAAAAAAGAATGATTAAAGTGCTAGACAGTCTGTCAGTGTCAGTCAGTGGAGTGTGACTGGTGATAGTGTGACCATTTGTGGCAGATTTCTGCAATTTCGGCAGATTTTGCAACTGAATTTTAGATGTGGCAGATTAGGCTGACGATTCAAAAAAGTGGCATAATTTGGCAGATTTCAAGGAAATCTTTATACATATAAATTAAGATCCGCATTAGAATACTTATAGCAAACTTTTTTCTGATGTGGCAACTTTCGTCCCACATAGTACGGGGATTTCCCCATTATTATATTTTAAATTACGTCATTCTTTTAAGGTACGTCATATGATTATGAACGGTAACAAATCAAAAATAAGGTTTATTTTGTTATTAATATAACTGATCTAGGTTCATGCCAATGTTTGTTGTTTTTTCTATGATTCTCTACCTTATTCTTGGTTATTGGTGCTTCATGTGTGTTAGTTGTGCATGATGAATAAAAAATACGACCGTTCATACAGACATGAGTGGGAACAAGATCATTTGGTTTCTTCCTGAATTTCCAAAATTATCTAAAAAGTTTTGGAATTCTTCCTGATATTGCATTTTACAAAGCTTGCAATTGTAAACTAGTCATAACTTTGTCAATGCTTGCAGTTGTTACCAAATATTATTCCGAAAGAGATTTTCCAGTAAAATTTTATCTTACTTTTAAAATATTTCAAACTTTACAAACGCTCTTTTAAGTTTGACTATGTCAAACAGGGTAAATATAGGGTAAAAGACCTACAGGCCGGAATTCTAAAGGTGGGCGAATAAAATTTCTAAAACCTAGAAATCCTCATAAGCGCTGCACTCCACCAGGCGACAGAGCGTAACCCCGATGGAGACAGCTCGTTGACGAATTGAATATGAGTCACGATCCTCAGCAGTGAGGGAACGACCAAGAAGATGTAAATGCCTCATGCGAAAGAATATCTATTTCATTAATTATAATGTACTGTTTCCAACGATACTAATATGATGGCATATTTTTGACATTTTTTGGAGATGAGTTTGGCAGATTTTGGCAGATTTTTTGCTAGTGTCGGGCAGATTCGCCTGTTTTTGAGATGGTCACCCTCTGTGAACAGTGTGGAGCAAAGAGAATGTAATCACTACGTTTAAGAGACGGGACTTCCATACTAGCCAAAAATATCCGTTTACGCGGCTCTCCAATACCAACCATACCACAAAAATACCACAAAGATGTCAAACAACATGAGTACCAACGTAACGAGCCAAATAGTGCTAGCTTAGCTTCTTATCGATATCGATAAAAAATACTAGGTAGAAACCGAGGTTTCCACTTAATATTTTTTTATTAATTTTATTAGTAGGCAAGTATCGAGTCCGTATTTATTTCCAACGTTGATGAGGCGATATTTGGTAGAAGATTGGACTTGAATACGAAATAAGATAAAAAACGGTTTCTGTTAATAAAAATGAAATTTTATTACTGAAATGAAATTTGTTTCTTGATTCTTCAGCCGTTGTCCTCCTGTACACGAGTCTGGAAATAATTGAAACATAAAAATATAATCAAATCCAAAAATTATTTTAATTTTCTTTCATACTCACCGCACGAAATTAATTATATGACGTATCAATATTACAGAGATTATGTTCCAAATCCTGCAAAATTCACCTATTCCGATCCTTGCTCATTTATGTAGGCACACCATTCAAATATGTAAAACTTTGTGCCCCTACTCTTTCACGCAACATTTTATTTCTTATTTTTATTCAATGATAAACATTAACGTAGTTATCGCACACAATTTAAATGAGATAAATTTGTTAATTTTATTTGTTCTTAGCCTGCTCTACTTACTATGGCTGCAAAGTATCATATTTAAGTGCTTACATGGGCTTTATCTAAGGGAAATCTCGCCATAAACATCCTTTTTTCAAGTTTCGAATGACTTGCTCGATTTTCACCAATTTCACAGGTAATAAACCGTCTTTTTGGCATTTTGAATTAAAAGTACAACTCTGATCACCTGTCACTAGTTTTCGTGAGAAAGTTTACTCTAAACAATTTAAATTTACAATGAAATAAGCATTTACATTCAAAATACGCGGTGCGAAATTAAGTTTTGACAAACAACATGGCACTTCTTGTATTGCAAGAAAGAGAAACCGCATTGAGGGAGAGTGATAGCAATGTCCGCCATTATTTGCCACGTAAAGTCCATAGAAAAATTTTTTGTTCCTAGTTTCGCCAGACTGGCTGGTGTGGAGTTGTGGAGCGAGAAGCCAGCTTTTTGTTTATGCTTTGTTTTGTTTATGTTTACCACGCGAGTGGCGAAATTGCTCAAAATTCATTTATTCAAAATTAAAAGGAAATGACAGGCCACGTTTCTATAAAGTTGGCTTCGGAACGAGTTAATCATTGTGTAGCCGCCAGTAATGAATTGCCACGTTTTTATACGCCGGGGGAGGTTATTTCTGGTATGAAGGATTATATGCGGTAAGGTATTCTCTACCCCTTTTAAGTTAAATTTAAATAGATTAAAGGAACTTTTCGTATTTTTGCAGTGGTCATGGAACTTACACTGAAGATGATTGTCTTAAGTCATCAGTTGCGGGTGTTATGCAAAAAGTAAATAAGTTGATTTGTATTAGACCCTTAAAGAGCCGTTATGTAGGTGAAATCGGGGATGTTGTTGTCGGACGGGTTCTGGAGGTGCAACAACGCCGCTGGAAAATAGAGACTAATTCACGCTTAGATTCAATTCTTCAATTGTCATCCGTCAATCTTCCTGGAGGTGAATTGGTAGGTAATTATTTACATTATTGTGCTGCCTAGTTAAATCTGTAACCCATACTGGTAAATAATATCAACCCTAATTATTTTTTTTTTCATTAATTAATTTATGAAAATTAATTAATGAATTTATGAAAAAAAATGTATGAAAATTGAGCATTAGAAAATTGGCGATGTGCGGGAAGTCGATGGATGCAGGTTGCTCAGGATCGTACTTCATAGCAGTCTATGGGGGAGGCCTATGTTCAGCAGTGGACTCAAATAGGCTGAAATGATGATGATGATGATGATGATGAGCATTAGTCAAGATAATATTATTCCCAGCCATCAAAAAACCAACCTCATTCTTCCAGACTTAGTTTGATGAAATGATGTCATAACATCATAACATTAGCAAAAACTGAAGTGACATGTGCAACACTCCTCTGTCTTTTTTATGCGATGCCTAAATAGTTTAAAATGTGAACACTGATGTGACACCTTCCTGATATATATTATCATAAGCCATATTAAAGTAACCTCCATCTACAGTTTAGAATTAAAGGCTGTTCACTATTTAAACAATGTAATGTAGCATAAGTTATAACTGCAAATATAATCAAATACAAAAATGTTCTAAGTCTGAACATGTTTAAACTTTGAGATATATAATTTTTCAGCGTCGCAGATCTGCTGAAGATGAACAGATGATGAGAAAGCATTTGCAAGAAGGTGATCTTATCAGTGCAGAAGTACAAAGTATATTTTCAGATGGTTCTCTATCACTGCATACCAGAAGTTTAAAGTATGGCAAGGTGTGTATTTAATGGGTATAAAGAAAGTAACAGCCTGTATATGTGCAATGCTGCAACTGCAACTGTACAGAGGGTAGTAGGGCATAGTCCACCATTTGACACCACTGCATTGGCGGACTTCACATATCTTCTAATTTTTATTTTGCTATTTTTTTCGATAAAATGCAGATTTCCTCATAATGTTTTCCTTTACTGTTGAGCATAAAGCATTGAGTTGTGTGAAAAGTCAGCACTTACAATTAACAATTTCATTGGTGCAAGCTCCTGTAATCAACCTCTGATTGCTCAAGTATATTAAATTAAAAGTGTGAGCCCGGAAAATGAGCTATCTCAACTCTTTTGAAACAATTAATATGAGAAAATTCTTCATTTAACGCCACTTTGCTGTAACAAAGAAAAGGGGATTATTTTTAATTTAAGCTTTTTAATCTAAAACCCCTTTTTTATATTCAGATTATTTAAATTTCATCAGTTATTCTTACCAATTTCAGTTACTACAAGGAACCCTTGTCAAAGTGTTTCCATCTTTAATAAAACGGAGAAAAAATCATTTTCATAATTTGCCTTGTGGGATATCAGTTATCATTGGGAATAATGGTTACATATGGATTAGTCCCCAGGAGCGAGAAGTTTTAGATGTAGAAGTGGAAGACGAAAAAGATGAAATTCAAAATTATGAAATGCAGGTACAGTGTAAAATATTTTGCATTGATTAATATACAAATTATAATTTTAGTTATACTCAATTTCATAAACATTAATTATTGATGGCTTTCTTACCTAGTTATAGTAGCATAGTTACAAGGTTGTGGGGTTTGTTTCTGCAGATTGCGGGTTCCACTCCTACAGGTCAAATATGTGGGACTCCCACATAATTAATCCGGTTCTGGGTATCTACTTATTTATGTTATAATTGTCTGTGACAAAAAACACATACATAAATCATAATAACACAGAATACATATTGACAATAGAATTACATATTGATTTCTTGATTTTATGAGGATATTATACCTATATATTAACATTTAACAAGAATAGTATGAGTATTATCTTACAGTTAAGACTGATCTTACAGTTAAGACTGTATTTTAAAAATAGTAATACATTATACTAATTGTCAGTAATCCTATGATTATATTAATACCAATTTGTCATATAAATGAAGGTAATAGTTTTGAGTACAAACAAAAACTATGTTGTCACTCAAAATTATTATATTTAATGAATTGTTTATATATTTTTAGCACAAAACAAATTAAGGTTTTACTAAAGGGATTTAAAAATAAAATAATTTTTTTGTTTTTAGCCTGTAAACAAATCTGACCGGGATACTATTGCTAGAGTAAAAAATTGTATTGCTGCTTTAGTTGCCTCTAAGATGATGCTGGATGATACTAGCATTATGTTTGCATATGAAGAAAGCTTAAAATATGAAGATGTGAAAGAACTTTTGGATCCTGAAGCAATGTTGGATGTTGCATTTTTAACTCAACATAGAATAAATACTGTGATGGAAGAATAAATAATTAGTTTTGGTTCTCTCAGTTTTTATCTCACACAAAAATTTTCCAGATTATGTCAAATCTCACTGTGTAAAAACAATGCTGGTATAGTTTCACCACACACACACGCACGCACGCACTCACTCACACACAAGTACGTGATAGATGTTCTCCATGATTACATTGGATTCACTCTTCACCAATCTGTATCAAATGACTAATGTCATAGGTGAGAACCTAATCGTCGGGAACCACTTCGTTCATAGGCGCGAAATAATAATAAAGAAATATGCGCTAACAGAATAAAATATAAAAAAACTGAGAGCTCTCATAAAACAAACGCGATACGGTTGCTAGGCAACCAATTACCAGTTACCAATTAGTGGAAGCCTTCGTGCGTGAGTCCGACTCACAATTGGCCGGTTTTTATGATGAAAATTTAGACGTCAAATAATCAACAAAGTTTTCAAATCCCCTTACTCTGTAGAACCGAAATAGATTATACCAAAAAACAATATTTTTGTTTCTTCAATACATGTTAATAGACAATTTCTCTGCAATTTATATCATTACAATTAACTGTAGCATAACATATTTACAGCATAGGCGTTTTGCTTACATAAACTATTTAGGTCGAAACCCTTAAAGAACAATTAATGTAATTAGGGGAATTTTTTCGGCCTTTAGTCGAACCAATGGGACGCAGAGCCGTAGTGAAGCTATCAGATAAAAAAAGTATCAATCCCACAGCTCTAGCACTAATAAGTTATGAAGACATTTCATTCTTGTATAACTGAAAGTACCTGGAGGACCGGTTTTTTTTGTTGGTAAATCATGTATTTTGGAAATAAAAAAATAAAATATAAAGAAAATGGTCTGGTATAGAAAAAAAGTAAAAAAAAAATAAGTGTGTAAATGATCGTGGTACGAACCGGCCGTCTGTTTTGGGGCCGCTCGATTACCGACCGCTATTATAACTGTTTTTTTTGCGGCGAACACTACTGTACTAAATGGCATGAAAATCGCTGGAGCCGTTTCCGAGATTCCGATTATATATATATATATATATATATATATATATATATATATGGCGATTATATACGTGAAGCCGGGGCGGGTCGCTAGTAAGCTATAAGGGTCAACGAAATAGGGAGGGCAAACTACGTTGTTTGTACACAACGTACAGCAAAGTCAGGCGGGATGCATAATTTGCGTTATGAAGGTAAAGGGGGAACTAATTCTTATTTCACTGACAATATATATGGCTTGGTAAGAAATAAAAAAAACAACTAACTTTACAAAATTCTTTATAAGTTTAATAAATTGTGAGTACAGATATCAAAAGTAAAAAGTGACGATGTCCTCTCAAAAATTGTATATCGAATGTATACGTGTAAACCACTACGATTTATTACATTTATAATCTAGCATTAAAAAATTAGGAAATTCGTAACTGTAACTTATATTCTAATCTTCTAGTGGAGTAAATGTACTGTCCACATAAAACATCTTCATAGAATAGTAATATAATGTAACTTTTTCAATGAGCCTCCATTATAGGGAAATATCATATCATAAATCAATTTTTATAATTAACATGATCATAGTAAAAATCGAGTAACATACAGTAAGTCTAAATTGATTTTACCTCAAAATGTGACGTATCGACTTGACTCAAACAACTTTAAAACGAAATACACAATTTACAAAGTACGGTGATACAACACAAGGAAGCTCACAACTCTTGTATTCTCTTTCATATTTAACGTGCACCGCTCTCTTTCTAAGCTTGCTTATTTCTCTTTCCCAGTATCTTCATTAGATTTTTGGACATTACATATGGTTTTTCAACAGATCCATCGTTTCTTTCGCAATCCTCCACTGAAAATCCCAAACAAAAATATTATTAAGCATTTAAATACTAATCCATCAAAATGGCACATGTTTTGATTCCCCATTCTTAAAACATTACACGAAATTCGATGATATTGTAATTGAGAATAAAGCATAAAATATCGTTAGTGTTTGGTTTTTTTTAAAATATTTTCAAGACACAAACATCTACATAAATAATATAGGTAAGTAATAGATTTCTACTGTGATATCACGGAAAAAACTACTGGATAAATTTTAAGTAATTTTTCTAAGTTTTATTTAATAACGTATGTATATGTTATGATTTTTATCTTAACTTAGATTAAATATATATAGATTTGAATAACGAAAAAGCGAAGCCTACTTTTTTGCAGGTATCTTTTTACTTCGAGAGTAGGTACATTGTAAAAACCACTACTTATGTTTAAGCTATTTTACGGATTTTATTTTGATTTTAATTTTGTAGCGTTTCAATCACCTTACTGTCATTCATGGTCACGTAACGCCGGGAATCAAAAGCAAAAACGCAATAAAATCCGTAAAACTGTTTTATTTAACCATGTCCTTTAGTTTTATTTATATTTTCAGGCGGTTTACCTCACGTAAAGTTATTAGGTACCGCCGCCCACAAAATGCGTTGCCAACTGTAAATACAAGAAATAATGATTTTACAGGAATACATATTTTTATTATACGTACTCTCTCTCTTAACATAAATAGGGAATAAACTTAACATCTACATGAAACATTGCGTTGATGTGTATATTTTTAGGTATACAAAATAAAGAATAAAATTACATATTTACTTTTTTCTATCTTTCTTAGATTATCGCATCTACTCTAAGCAAACCCGTGACGGATGAGTGATGCAAGCGGCCTGAGCAAAACCACTTTCTCATGACGCGGTTTTGAAGTTTTACCTTCATGCTTCATGTGCGTAAAGAAGTTTCAGTTCAATATACTTACAAAAGCAAAGAAATAGAGTGTCCACTGCCATTGAGTATACATTGAAAAATATGGTGCAAATAAGATATGTGGCAATACTGAGTATAATCGCTGGGATGTAGTTATAATGTAATCGTTCGCCTTGCGTCACTTCGTATACATAGTTCCATTGCAGGAGATAGTATACCGCGAAGCCAACGCCAATTGAAATTAGCAACTTGGACAGGAAGAAGATGAAATCAGTCACCTGAAATTAAACATTACTTTTTATTTAAACAATACATAAATAGCAAATAGTGTATAATGAACACAATCATTACCTTATCGAGTACAACCACTCTCACAATATTTCTCATGAGTAATGAAAACGCATCTCGCGCACTACTGCAGAAATTCTTCCCGTGAACCGCGCACATTATGTACGCATTCTTGTTGATGAACTTCAGGAAATTTTCCAGGCACCAGAAGAAGCATTTGCAGAAGCACATGATGCAGCGCGTTATCGGGTTGTCGAACTTTTTCACTTTATGGTCGATATACTCCAGAATTACCCGAATAACTCTTACTATGGCTATTATTAACGCCCCCAAAGCCACAGTCCCGAGATGGTAGCTGCAATGTCGAATGAATAGCGAATATTAGATTATAAATATTGGAAAGTTTTATACATACACAGACTTCATAAATGATCATGAGACATTATCAATATAAAACGGATGCTTGGTCATTTTTGTCTTATTGCATGTGAAAAGATTTAATAAATACATCTTGTGTTACATATTAAATACGCAGATGTTTACACAACTCCATGACATTAAGTAAAGGATATATGGTATTAACTGATTAGAGAAGCTTCGCGCGCAAACACAGCAGATTTACTGCGTTAACTTACGTAATTGTAGAGGAATTATTTCACAAAAGCAAAAGACATATCACGTTTTTCTATTCAGAGGGCATAAATTAATGTTACATTCTGTACCAATAATTGTATTTCTAAAATTACATGTTAGTAATTTCGTTGAAAAGTTTGTGCCAAGATGGATTAACGTACCGCAATGTCCTGTAGATTCCAGATGTGAGGGTAAAGAATGGTAAATCGCTCTTATGCGCTGTCCAGTACCAAGTGGAGAAAGTACTTGCAAGCATCATGTCTGCTATGCCACTAATAAAGAACATCGTCCAGAAAAAACCCAAGAGATTCACAACTGAAAATAAATGTATTATGTTTTACCGGCGCATTAGAAGATATAAAAATACTATCTATATTTTTAGCTTTATTTTATTACAGAAGAATTATCGATGAGTGAAACAAGCACTTGTCTCGTGTGAAAATGGAATCCAGGAAACGCGGCACCAAAGCCCAGTAACTACACGAGCCATTAATATTTAGCTCTAGAAATTATTTGCCTAAATTTATTTCATAAAGAAAAAAACAACTGCAATAAAGCAAGAAAACTAACAGCCAACATATGGGGTAAGGCAACACGACCCCTTCGCGGATTGACTGACTTCACATATTTTTCAAAATTTTCTTATTATGATTATTATGATTTCGAATATATGCAGGTTTCCCCACGACGTTTTTCTTCATAGCTGAGCACTTGATACGCCAGCACTTAAAATTGCCATTAACAATTGGATTGGTGCCCGTACAAGGATGTAAGGTTAGTCAATTATTTTCAATTGAAAGAGAGCGCCCGGACAATGAGCTATCTCGGCTTTTTGTAGAGCATTCGTATAAGTGCGTTTTTTGTTCGTATGTGTGGGTAGTCAAAGTTCGTATAGACACGTACACGTGTTTACTGTCTTTTTACTTACGATGCATATACAGAACAATATGAGGGTTATCAATTCCAATGAAATGGCAGGATGCAACCTGACAAGGCTGCTGGTAGCCGGCACCTGGACTCGTGTCGTGGCATTTCATGGTAAAAGTGGAGGGTTCACAGCCGACGTAATCCTGTAAAATATTATATCGATTATCAGTGAAGGGCTTAAGGTAGAGACCCGGAACTATCTCTGAATCTATCCCATAAGATCTGTTTTTCAGAATTTTCTGAAATAGAAACCATCACTCCAGTGTCGCGGACGTTATGTTTGCGCCATAAATATCCGGTAGAGTGATCCTAAGGAGTTCGTGGCTTGAAATGGTCTCGAACTGGATTGGATGGATCCTGGATTATCCTCTTGGGAAAAGCCTATTATCCATAAAGGTACTACTATTTAACGTCATCACCACGTTACTTTTTAAATATGAACAGCGAAAGTTCAGAGATATTTTAAAAAAATTAATATATATATATATATATATATATATATACATATATGGCTATGACTGGTGGTAATAGTTACACATACTTCGGTATAGACGCCGCCGCAGTTACAGTTGGTGTCGTTCCTTAGATTCACAACTCTGAAGGCCGAATCTCCTATAGAGAGCAAGTACATGAGCACCAACACTCCGTAAGCGATCACCGCACACTGGATGACCCACGGGAATATCGGGAACAATACTGTCGACTTGATTGCTACCACTGCTCTGAAATACAAGCGATACGTCGCGTTATGAATATTATTTTTTTTGTAAATCTTCGTACGTTCTGTAGGCGGACCTAAAGATCTAGAATAAAGCACTACAGCACATTCCTAGTTATATATGCGCAATAAAACAGTATTTTCACCGCGATATTGGAGGCAGTACAAGTACATTTTGATTTTATGTCTATAAAGTCCTTCTGGGGTTTTGCAATGACATGTGGCCTTGTAAAAAATACAACATTACAAGACACAAAAAAACTTGATGCCATTAACAGAAAGTAATCTTGTGACCGTGTTACTTATGTATACCCCATTGCATGCTAAGGACGTTGACTCACTAATCGCATTAGTAGTCAACGACGCAAGTCGTACATAACACATGTACGACTTGCGTCGGGACATGTTAACGAAAGTTTTAGCAGTGTCTTCTTCAGCTAGGTATATTTTGTACAGTATCTTGGGTTATGATTCAATTTGAAAGCTGCATTATTATCACGTACCGACTATTATGCCCGTTTGTAGTTTGAAGGATATAACCTAAACGCCCGAAGAAAAAGTTTTAGGGTGCAACTTGATTGGTAAGATCTGAATACGGACACACTGGGAGTATTGATCAGATGTAGATTACCATATAAGTTTTGATCAACTAAATGAAATTTAACTTTTATGAGCGTCTAAAGTAAGGAATACAAATGATCCGAAGTAAACGGTTACATCAACATACCTGCTACCTTCACGTATCAACGCTATGGCAATCGTAATCCTACTCCTTAGAAATATTACTATGATGAGGAGTATTGCCAAAATGATGGCCAGTACAACTAGGAGCGCCATCCACGTCTCCTGCTTCGTGAACATGGATTGTGCATAGCCTTTCAGATTAGTTGTCTGGATCAATGTCACGGGGTTGTCGCGATAATATACGTAATTCTTGTAGGATAGATAAATGGCTGCAAAAGATAATTGAAGTATTTCATGTTTACATTTATATAGCTCAATACTTATACGGGTTATTTAAAGTGAGTAAATCAACAGCCTATACATGTCTCACTGCCGGGAAAATTCATCCTCTGTATAAAGGGTATTGGGGCATAGTTCACCACGGGACACCATTGCCAGACGTCACTTATTTTAAAAATGTCTAAGTATATGTTTTAATATTATTACAAAAATATGAAAGTTTCCTCACGATGTTTACCTTAACCCTTATAATTTTATGTGTACGATCAATTAAGGTGGTAAGTACAATGTTTTTGGTAATGGGATAATATGTTATTTTATTCGTAATCGATGTTTGCGCTTTCAGTCCGCAGACTATATAATGCTTTACTGGGATTTTCTTCCTATCAAGCAGAGTACATTAACAGAGGGAATATCGGCAATAGGCCATCGAGGTCGATGACATCGGCGGCTGCCGTCAATTGTATTATTCGTTGTATTAAACGTTCTTTTCTGTTTGTTGTTATAGAATTGGAAAGATGTTTTTCAATTTCAAACTCCATGACCGACATGAAAATGAAATTAGTAGAATTCGAGTTTAATTAGTAACATTAATCTAACAAGTATATTTTTATTAATAGAAAACTAAACCGATTTCAATACCTCAAACACTTTATTTTTTTCTATTTGATTTTTAAGAGTCCAAGGCCCAATATAAATATGGGTCCAAATGGGAGCTAACAAAAACCAATGCAAAAATTAATTTTTTTATTATTATATAACAACCGAATTGAGAACAATTCCTTTTTTAAAGTCTATGAAAAAGGAGATTTATTGGTAGTAAGCGTATTAAGCATATTATAAGTCGTCTTATGTCTACAGTTCTTTGAATGTGCCAGCAGCCATTTTATCCAATTACCGTGTAATCTTTATATTCCAAGAACACATAGTAGTCTAAGCTTTACTTAGAATACCTTATCAATATATAAACGAACTTAAATATATAATGATGCAGTCGCGTCTTTAATCGTTATAATCGTTCTTGCTAGATAACTTCCAGTAGAAAGTTAATTTTGTTATCAGAGAAGAGAAACATTGTAAATACTAACGAATAACAATTTATATAATTGAATTAAGTTCTGACGGCTTACAAATAAAGACGCGGCCAAAGGTAAGTACTAAAAAATAAACTTACAAAAACCAATTAGAACGTGTAAGCCAGCTATGGAGAGCCAGACGACAGGAGCGACCAACCATCTCAGAAGAAGGATGTATATAAAGCAGATTACGACAACAGCAACCACGGCGCCCGCCATATACCATCGCGACTGCACCAGATCTTGGACTATTTGTGACGATAACTGTAGGAAATAATTTCAAATGACATCCTCACTACACGAAACATAATTTAAACTACAGTTGAACAAGAACATTTTTACTTTAGCAGTGGCGGATTTGTAGTCTTGGCCGCCCTAGGCCCCAGCCCATGTACTAAGTTCCAGCCGCCCCTTACTCAGGGTCCATCATATATCTTGTTAACATCAGTGAATTTTTTGTTACGTTTGGCCGCCCCTAATATGTGGCCGCCCTAGGCCCGGGCCTATGGGGCCTTAGGGCAAATCCCCCACTGTACTTTAGTTATCCTAAATTAGTTCAAACATTTGAAGAAGTTAACATTTTTGAAGTATTTCTTGATTATTTGACGTTCGCTTTGATTATGAAAGAAAGGTAAGTCAAAATTCAAAATATTATTTCTAAAAGTACTTAAAAATGATTAATAAAATGATAACTACATGTGGTACAAGATTTCTAAAACTACCTAAAAATGAGTAGAAAATGATAACTACGTGTGGTTCCAATATCGATCTAAGTGGGATTAAAGTAATTTTACCATTAGGACTCTAATAAACCGTTGAAACAAGCAAGCTTACCGTCATTTCCGTAAAAAATTCGTTATGGCTGAATTTAGATAAATGCCCATTACGATTGCTTCTTTGGACTGATGTTGTTATAGAATGAACCCGTATCCTAATTATATAGGGACATATTTGCGTGTAATTAAATTTTTACATTGATGCCTAAAGAAGTCTCAAATAATACACGTTAGTAAAAGCTAGTGGTACAAGAAAGCATCAACATAATTAGAGCATCGTAATATGAAGTGACATGTACAGGTAGAATAAGGGTATTATTATTTATATATTAGTGCAGATGTTTATTGCAGTTAGCAAATGAAAGTTATAATAGTGCAAAGAATATTAATAAAACAAATTAAACAAACCTTCACGCAGCAAAGTGAATTCATAAATAAATAAATATTTTTATAAATATTTTAGGACACATTTTTACACAACGTTCTCTAGTCCCAAACTAAGCAATGCTTGTACTATGGGTACTAGATAACTGATAGACATACTTAAACATACTTTTCTTTTGTAAAAAAATACATATACAACATATTATACATATATAAACACCCAGACACTAGAAAAACACTATGTTCATCACACAGTATTTTTCCAGGAGTGGGGATCGAACCCACACCCTCATGTCGCAGGAGGCAGGTACGCTACCCACTACGCCATTCGGGTCGCCATTCAGCAATAACATAAGTAACGGCACAAGAATCTTACGTATGCCGGTGATTTTTGATCATATAATTGGTTTTATTTTCTTTTAAAATAACTACTGATGTAATAAGCTACAGAATTAGGACAACAGCGATAAAGCGTAATTATTACATCTTCAGTATACGTACGACATTTACTCTACCTGATCGAACTGTATCAATTTGCCGAGTTGTTCCAGCACCTGGTTTTCGTCCAGACTTGCCAAGTTGCCGTTGATCTCGCGCAACACGTCCATCGCCTCCGAGACGAAGGGGAAGCACCGTCCCATCACTGCACCGTCACCAACCACATCCCGGTTTAGTTTGGTTAATGTAGCGGCGCGTGCGCAATTAGTGCGTAGCACATGACATATATAGGAGCGGCATACGATAGTTATCGACAGCGGTGCGGTAGAGTTCATGCGGAACGGTTAATTTTGTACGGGGTTAGTCTACACGTGCGTTACGGCGTGCGACGCGTCTACCTACAACATGTAACTCCCGCTCGTCGCCCTTGAAGAAGGTCACCCAGCTGGCTGCGATCCAGCCCACGTAAGAATCGAGGGCGGTCGCGCTGTTCAGCAACGACCTCTGCGCCTCCCTCGGGTTCCGGACGCAGGTCTCGCCCGCGCTCTGGTCCGTCCATTTGGACCCCGTCGCGGTGTCTTTGCATTGCATCGCGGACAGGTCGCCGATGCAGCGATACAACACTGAAGTGCAGTTATGTCTAACAGAGGTCGGTTTGCAGGCGTTAGGGGACATGCGACGCGCTCACCCGTACACAGCTCGATAACGTTAGCGGCGTAAAACGCTCATTCATAATTACGACAATTTAACAATAGTAGCAGAAAACATTGAAAACGAAGACCATAGTTACCTGGTTGACTTCTTAATACGTAACCGGCGCATTTCCCGTCCTTTATGAATTGCAGGGCTTGCGTGTAGGTAATGGTTTGTACGTTCACGTCATCAGTACAGACCATGTTGGACCTCACTTGTTCGAAGGTCGACGCGTCGTTTATTTTGGTGTGAAATATTATCGTCTGTTCCGGGCACTTTCGGACGCATACCTGTAGTAAGTGGATACAGAAAAGATCATTTAATAAATAATGTTAATTTGATGGGTGCTGTAATTTTGAGCTTGGTCAGTCATAGCAGCGCAGACAAATTAGGCACGAAAGAACAAAGACATCGAGGCAAAGCAGTTGACGACTTTGTACGGCGAGGATCATGTTTTTGTTAATGATACCGCACTTGCCAGCTGAGCTATAAATACTTTTTCTTTACCCTGCTCTTTCGTGAGGCTGTGATACTTACAACCGGCTTATTTTTGATAAAGCAGAATCTCCTGCGTAACACTACCATAGAGAATTCACGGGTTGGAACCTCAGCGAATACTTATATGGACCTCTCCAGCAAAGACAAGAGACGTGAGAACAAATATAGGTAATAAAGCAAATACGCGGTCTAGCTCTATCACGGGGTCTTGTAAACTTAATTGCAATGTTGTACGATAAAAACCAAACTCAGGGTAGTGTAACAATATGAATATTAGATGTGATGAATCTGTGGTACAGTTGCTAAGTTCTTGGCTTCGGTGCCGTGGATCTTAGGTTCAATTCATTATTCAATTAGTTATCAGCTTATTAGCTGAGCAATAGAAAACAAATTAAAATGACGTAACACAGAAACTATTACGCACTTGCTGAGTGGGGCAGCCGGTAATCGGGGTCCCTGGCGACAAACATCGCGTGAGGTCGAAGAACATCAAGTACTTTTTATCCTCAAGGCCGGAGTCCAACCCACACCTTTGTCCTTTGGAGTCGATAGGTGCTAGGAGTTTTTCGACATTGCCCTTTGTCATGCCTGTTATTCAAAATTTGCATCAAAAATATTAAAAGGTATAACGTTTATATTAATTATACAGTTTAACAGTTTAATAAAGTGTTTTTCTTGTAATCGTAACTACCATTGCTTTTCAAAAAAATGACATGTAATAATTTAAATGTAACAGCAATGTAAATCTTTTTGTTCAATTAATTTGAATACTCTAATATAAAATAAAAAAGAACTATTTTTTATTTAACCGGTTGTGACTAAGAAAGCGTATTAAATTCACTTACTGTAAAATCCGACATATCCCCATAATCCCAGAAACAGGATGAATATAATCAACCACAAGATGTCTGTGCAGGAGCGGTTACGGGTGGGGCCGTTGAAATCCGGCTCATATCGTATTGGCTCCCCTGAAATAAGAAATAACTTGGTCAATATTATAACTGCTTTCGTTTTCTATCCTGAGATCGAGCGTGCTCTACAACTTATGAGTTTAAAATTGATTACAATGTCTTTTGTAACAGTCTTGTTTTAAATGACAATGCATGAAATAATACAATTTTTTTTTTAATAACCGTTACTTTCGATGTGATTGGCTTACATCTTTTCTTTATTCGAAGGTAATGATGGTAAAAAGATTATCAAAATTGTACGTTAATATATTCATAGTCCATTAAATCTTAAAGAAAAGCGAATAAGAAAAGCGAAAATTAAATAAAATAATAACACAGACACTATTGCGGTCAGCATTAGTGTCTGAGTTATCTAAAAATTACAAAAATTGGTTACTAATATTATTTCCAATCCGAAAAACGGACTGTATGTTGGTGGGAATTTGAATCCGTCGACCATAGATTGCTAAACAACGTCGTGTACCACTAAATGTAAAAATACGTAATCTAAAATGTAGAATAAATAATTGAGTCAAAAACATATAAGTAAAAAATATACTCGAAGGAAGCATTCATTTAAAAATAAATTAATTACATGCAATTTTTTCAAATTCTAATAGCTGCAGTATGAAATTGATTATATAGAATACTATTAATATATAAATATCCTTATTGATAAATAATAGTTCTGACTATTAATATATAAATATAAAGGATATTAGTTCTGTTAAAACTATGAAAGGCCTTATTTGTAAAATGTAAATCCGAACATTTTAATCATCTTTTCTATACATATATAACAAATGTCTCATTTAGATATTGGTCGATTGCTCGTAAATATGGAGTCTACAGAAACAACGAAATACACTTGACACACTGCATTCAAGATAATGGTTTTGTTTGTCTTGCAGTGCGCTCGAGGTCACCATGGCCTTCAAATGCCGTGGTGTTATTCAACCACTTAACACGGAAAAGGTATAATTAAAGATGTTCAAGGCTCCAACTACTGTGAACTTCTTTTCTAGCGACCGGCCAAATGAAAAATCTCATGATTATACTCAAACACAAATTGGAATGAACATGAAGTCAAGCCAACCCAACGACGGATGGATGTGTGGAAATGTTAGGTATGCCTGGGATTTTACTAGTCACCTAGCTCCTGCTGCTTTTATATAACAGCTATGACTTCTTTATGCATTCAATGCCATCTTCACAATATCTATTTAGATCATAGATTTCTATCTGTGAACGGATCAAATCTACGAGCCAGTGGTAGATTTTGGCCTTTATAAGAGTTAAGTTTATAAGAGCCTAGATTTAATAAAAAAATTACTATTAAGAATTTAAAATGTTCGTATAGACAGCATAACCTGAGAAGAATTTTACTTGTGACTACGTATTAGATTAGATAGACGACTTGTGATTACGTACTAGATTCTTTTGGTGGTACACAGCAGTCTCCACAGCATCCCATATTCTGGCATCTATTTAAGGTTATACACGTAACACTTCGTTAAATCTCAACTACACGGTCATGTTTCACACTTTCATAAAGTCACGACACAAATCGAATTTATAAATTTAAAGAAAGCAGTAAACGGACATCAGTTATAACTGATAACTTCGAATACGACCATACTCTTATCAAACTGATTATATTTGGATTGTAGATAGTAATGTTTATACTAAGAATTTAATAATAATTTCGTACGCTCGCCTTTTTGATTTTGAAATACTAATCGCATGGCCAACGAGAGAACTAAACAAAAAAAATAATCTGTTAATAATGACACGAATAATTAAGTACAATTAGTAATTATATCCACGTAATAATGTTGTTTTCGGCGATGTTTGTCACAAGTTTATGCAAAAATCGTGTGCATTTTTTTACACATTTTTGCACAACGCTTGTACTATGGGTACTAGATAACTGTTAAACATACTTTTTTTTGTAAATATATACATATCATACATATATAAACACCTAGACACTAGAAAAACACTATGTTCATCTCACAATATTTTTCCAGTAGTGGGGATCGAACCCACACCCTCTGGCGTAGGAGCCAGGTATACTACCGACTACGCTATAACAACTATTATGGACGGTAAATAGGCAGTTTTGATTGATATTAAAACATAATGGATTGTTATACAAACGACAAAACGTAATTGATGCAAATAATGTTTACTACATCGTTATGTATAGTCAATTTAGTATTTTAGAATTTACATTAATTATGTCAAAATTCTCTATTCCTAATGAAAAATCTTTAATCAGTTACGGAATACTGTACCTAAATTGTTTCCGTATTCTATCTTTATTGCCCACACAGAATGGACTGTATCTTGTATCTTGTATTAACTGATGTTTTTGCTTTCAGTCCCGAGACTATTAAAGCTTCATCTGACGCAGAACCGGTGGGCTAGCCAGAACCCACGGGTTTGGGCCCTCCGCTGTGGGTAGGGCCACGCATGTGCTCATGCGTGCGTTTAACTATGGTACGTCATCTAAGGGCCATCGAGGTCGTGGTTCGGACCGAAACCCCGATGGCCGTCGACTCTGCAATTAGCTAATCGGTGGCTGGGGGCGGTGAGAACCGCTCCGGAACGCGGGTGTACCTTGTGTACGCGTTGTGTTGGTCTCGCCGTGCTCGGAGGCGAGGGCGAACTAGTGTGTTTGTTGTTGCACTAACTGTGGGTATAGTGTTGTCCGGCGGGACCCCCGGCAGTGGGTCCGGCGTGTCTAAGTCCCCTTCCTCGACCGGGTCGATTGGGACGTTTCGCGGGCGACGCTTGTTGACGTTCGCGTTTTGGTCGGGTTGGTAATTTGCTGCGCTTACCACCAGAGGGTTGGGATGATGTTCGGCTCTATCGAAGAACCGTTTGGTCAGGTCTTTAAAATATTCGCGAAAGAATGGACTGATACCAGCCAGTGGCTTTGTGAATCATATCAATTATATGTAAATAATAAATAAGAAAAACCTAATTCTTGACATAAGTAAGAAATAACACTACTTGATAATTTCTTGGATTTACGCGTTTACACATTATAATTGAAACGATTTTTACGGATTTATCGCGTTTATTTATTTACCCTTTACAGCGCTCGTGGTCATGAGACAGATAAATCCGTATAAAATAGTTTCATCACAGTATTTGATATAAATTCTACGCCATTTTAAAACAGACTACCAATTCGTGTAATGAAATAATAAGACAGGAAACGGAGAATTATTGCAGCTTGTCTGTTCTTATTTTCTATTTAGGTTTCCTAACAGACTTTAAGTACCGACTATTCCCTCAACAATACAGTGTTAAGCAATTATAATAGCTCTAGCACACAAAACAATATTAAACGTGCGCAAATAATATATATCACAGGCTACCCACTTGATTACTAAATTTGTTTAATGATAAGCACGCACGATAAACCAATTTCTGTTGGTTTTTCTCTAAATTTTAAGCACTTTTTGACTTGAAAAATTAAATGTTTTCACATGGCCCCGTGCACGCGATAACGTCAGATATCATACTGTGGTAGCGAGTTGTGACTTTACTTTGCGCTTACGTCGCTCCTTAAGACTGTTTCACATGAACAACAACCGATCAAGTTTGATATTTCAACTTTTTATTATTGAACATAGCGCAGTATTAAAACAAAATATGTTTTATGTTGAAATGTATTTATGTCACTGTAATAAATTGTATATACTTTTTACGCTAGCAAATGATTTAGATAATGTGTAAAAGTGTTTTATTTAAAAAGCTTAATATAAAAATTAACTAATAATATAACAATAATTCATTATTAACTAATATTAATATGATAACTAAATCAGTTTTTTTTATGTGAAAAGTTGCCAAGCGACCAGATGGTTCACCTGATGTTAAGTGAATACCACCGCCCATGGACATCGGCTACACCCGAGGGTTCCAGATGCGTTGACAACCTTTTGAAAATTGGGCTCTGGCCACCTCACTCACCAGACGAAATGCGAAAGTATTATACTTCCACTTTACGCCGGTCTTATGTGAGGTCGTGGTATTATTAGCGAAGTAACTGTGACTTTATTATTTCGAAAATTTTAACAAAGTCCACGCATAAATATATATAATATATGGACTACGTATTTAAAGCATTCTACGTTAGATGACTAGATGTGTGAATGAGCTAACGATCAGAGTAGACAGTGACGGTAGCTTTATTTATGTCCGTGGAAATGCGATTAGTGATGTGCGTGAACGAGTGAAGCGAGAGCGAAACGAATGAAACGAACGAATATAAATTAAATATTGAAACAATGATAAATTGAAACTCGCTAAGGAAATCCCAAGGAGAGCGTTGATGCATTGTTCTTATCTATATCTCTTTGTTCCCGTATCGTACGTACAGTGTCTCGGTTATTTAAGTCTGCGTATGTTTATTGTTAAAAGATTTAAGTATACCCCAGTTCTAGAGGAAACCTGTGGAAAATTAGATTAATTTTTGTATCTTATTCTGCAATAAAGTAGAAGAATAGACTAAAACTTATTTTTTTTATTTGGAGAATAACCGCTGATATTTCAACGAACACTTACAGGCTTCAAATCGAATTAAAGGTAAAACAGCATGAAGCTTGACTTATATTGTAAACTTGATAGGTCCGATTACATCACTACTTGTCCGCTCGCCGTAAATAAACACTGCCTACATCCACAAGTACAATTTCAAGAACATCATAAAAACGTACATGAAAATAGGACAGATAACCAAAAATACACGATACTAACGTTTCAAACGTTTATTGTATATATTGGACGGGCAGCGTGAATTTATTTATTATCCGTGGGTTGGCATCGCTAAATATATGAATTCGACCGCAACTCAATTTTTTTTTAATTGCTGCGTACAGCTCTTCTAATATCAAAGCGCTCTGAGACGGTGTTGAACAGGAACCGTCAGTTTTACCTTTTAGATGACTGTATGGTAATTTATATTTAATTTATTGTCTGGTACATTATATTTTTCATTACTAAAATTACATTATTCCGACTTATTGAAAAATTAACTACACTCACTCCGCTTAACTTTGTTTTATGTTAGTATTCGTACACCTTAACATTCTCAAGTGGAATCAATAATAAAAATTAGTCAACAAGAGCTAACTTTCAATTGTACCAAATTATTAGCGTCGGATAGGATTTTAAATATGATAATATTTTTGATAAAATCTCTTTAAGGGCGTGTTTGCGAAATCTCGCGGAATCTGCAAAAATAGGCGGTTTTCAGGTACATTTTGCGGCAAAACGAAACGAATATAATGTAAATAATAATTATCACATATAGATCCCTCCTTCATCTTCAAATGGTAGATAGTTTTTAATCGAAAATTTTGGTTTATAATATTGTAAATGAGAATTTTCGTGACCACTTCACTCAAAATGGACGATATCCTGTTGGGTTTAGGAACATTTTTCTCTTATTTAATAACATATTTTTTTTATTTAAAAATATTTTATGTAAGCACACATGTTCAACTCAAAAAGGTAGCTACATTACGTATCAAAATTGTTGAAATTAGTTTCAGAAAAAAATAAAGATTAAAATCTATTTCTTTCACATTTATATCTTACGCGTGAATCTTAAGTGATTGACATAAAGGTTATTTTACTGGTCACTTTTTTGATTTATTCCACAAAAATATTTAAAGAAATATTAGTCGGCGCTCGGCTGCCGTCATGAGTGGTCACTATGTCGCTTATAAACAGCAGCTCGTGAGGAAAAAGATCGCTGTACGAATACAAAATACTTGTCGTAACAAAGTTGATACTTTACACATCATGTTCGGACTTCGGACTACGAACGACAAAAGTAAACTATAATTGACACTTTGTCATATTTTTACTAGAAATTAGTAGGGGTTAAAAATTCATATTTCGTTACGGACTTGATGGAGTGACCTGAAGGTGTACTTCGAGAACTGCTACTGGAACTAACAGACGAGATGAGTTATGTGTGTCGAGTTTGGGCTTGTTTTGTTAGGTATGGTGAGACCTTGCCTTCTGACTAGATGGAGTGACCTGAAGGTGTACTTTGGGAACTGCTACTGGAACTAACAGACGAGATGAGCTATGTGTGTCGAGTTTGGGCTTGTTTTGTTAGGTATGGTGAGACCTTGCCTTCTGATTTGTTGGAGTGACCTGAAGGTGTACTTCGAGAACTGCTACTGGAACTAACAGACGAGATGAGTTATGTGTGTCGAGTTTGGGCTTGTTTTGTTAGGTATGGTGAGACCTTGCCTTCTGACTAGATGGAGTGACCTGAAGGTGTACTTTGGGAACTGCTACTGGAACTAACAGACGAGATGAGCTATGTGTGTCGAGTTTGGGCTTGTTTTGTTAGGTATGGTGAGACCTTGCCTTCTGACTAGATGGAGTGACCTGAAGGTGTACTTCGAGAACTGCTACTGGAACTAACAGACGAGATGAGCT